TACTTGCCCATCACTTCACAATGTTCATGCTTTGGATTTCACACTTCTTGGAGAAAATGGACAATTAATAATTTGCACATGGACAGTGATTACAGAGAACAGCAAAATTAAGGAATATTTAAAAAAAATCTGGAAACATTGAAAAGGCAAATGTTGAGATTTCTCATACCAAGGAACATGTTAATGAACTAGACTCTGTTTTGAAAATAACAGTAGCTTTCTACCATTTTAAAAAAATAGTAATTGGATTTAATATTTTAGAAATAAATTCTATAGAATATATTCTCTGAGTTAATTCTAGTTTTTCTAAGTATTTTACAACAAATGTTCTGCAACCATAACAAAGTAGATGACAGAATTACTCTTTAGCCCCAGTGGGAAAGCATCTTAAGGATTTCCCGTATCATCCTCTTCTGTCCCTGTTCCTGACAGCTTCAGGAAATTAAACTGGCACAATGAACATGAGTTTATACAACTCATGAGCTGTAACACAGGAGTTTATTTAGCAAATGCCTTTTAAAACAATATCATGGGTCTCTCTTGCTTTAGCTCTGAGTAAGGGCACCTGCTTCACTACAGGAGCAGCCTAGACAAGGAGTTTCAACTGAGGGAATTCAGCTGGCAGAAGACGACAACATGCAGGGGAATAAGACTGCCTGTTGCTGCCAAGTATGGTGTTGCAGGCAAACTACAACCTTGCTGCTCAAATGTTAAGCACTCAAAAGGTAAATGTTGTATGTTCAACACAGCTTTTATTCTAATTTTCACTATGAAATTTATTGTTAAACTTTTTGCTCATTAATCTGGTCCATGGAAAGGAGAGCTTGCTTTTGCTGCGTTTCGCGTTAGTGATAAAATTTCTATTCACTTCTGAGCTGGATTGGGCTTTATTGGGAAAGTGACTTAGTTTGCTGTACAAAAATTTAGTTATGATGCCAAAAAAGGGTATTTTTGCCTGTTCTATAGAATTATTTTTTTTTAATCACAACATCTCCAAGTACCTTACAAACCAGAGCATAGAGAATGGAAGTGACACAGCAGGACAAAGGCAAAGCCAACAGAACCCAGGTCTCCTCTGTCTGAGCCCAATACTCTCTATCCAGTATATCACACTTATATCAAAGAGTCCGGAACATCTGAAATATTAAAAAAACATAATACATGTTCTGTTTTGCATACAAATGTATGTATATGATCTTTAACAAACTAGCTGTGTTTCATGAAGATATCTGCCTGATTGTGAGGCACAGAATGCTACATCATCAGTTTGTTAGCACGTTTACTGAAATACAACACCCAGGTAAGATTAGAAACTGGATCTGGATCAGTTAGCAATCCAGTGAGTAACACCAAGAATACTACAGGCAATTTCTGCAGAACTTGGACAAAAGGCAGGATCCCATTATTACCTGACTCAGTTAACAGATCAGTGAGCAGGCTGAACCATATTTATAGCAAGTGATGGTTACTATGATAGTGTAATCAATGGCCTTAAAATAAATAAATGTCAACTCAAATTATGATTCACTAGCAGGAACTTATGTAAATGAAAAACAATAGAACTTTTACAAATCTAGAACCTTCTGATCTAAATGGCATACAGCTCATAAAAGATTTTTTTTTAAAAAAAAAAAGGAAAGAAATATTAGAAACTTCTACTGACAAGTTTTTAATTTTTTAAAGGACGTTCCAGTGGACATGAGCTATAGCTCTTAGGAGACAACTGCAATTGCTGCAACTTTGCCAGAAAAGTTCTAATTTTATATCTAATGTCAAAGCTTTATATATAAACTTTAACAATGCATTTTTTCCAAGAGAGGCAAAGTTCACATTATAGGCAAAAAGGCATCCAGTTTTAGGTGCTGTTCCAGTGATGATCTGTGTGAACATTCTGTTTTATTTTAACAGAGGGAAATGCTTTCATTATGGCTCATTTTTCTGAACTACGTGATGTAATCATAAACTATCTACCAATTTATTACGTGGCTTCTTAGGAGTGATTATCAGTAGCCAGGTAACTTGGGAAATAAAGCTGATACAACTATCAGTAAAGTAAACATTTCCACAAATGATATATACAGAAGCAAATAACTGCTGTTTATCATTTAGTAACATAACACTTTTTATCACGCAGAAGTAAGCTTACCCAAAATGAAAGGACTGGTTATCAACTTGAATACTAACCAACTGGAAAATGGGACATATCATATATTATTATAAACTAGCCCAGAAAATAACATTAAAACATTTTCCAGCCCATGATTTGTTTTTCCTTATATGAAGAGTACTTTTTTCTTCTAAACAAAACATGAAAGTCTAATCAAGGGGTGGGAATCTTGACACTTACCTGATTTCTACAGCCTACTCTAGATTTCATAGTTAAATTACCCTATCTGTTTGGGTCAGGGCTGTGACTTTTTTTTTTTTTCTTCCCACTCTAGTCAACTTACTTCTACATACTAGAAAAGGCCTTAGCTTTGTTATTTGCTGTATGGAATTGTTTGGGAACAGGTTTAGCCTATGTCAAAAAAAGAGGTTTCTGGTTTTTTGTTCCCTCAGTATGAGTTTATCTCTGTTAGAAGGCTTGTTGATACTACTAGTATAGCTACCAGGAAATAAATCTCCATTAATTATAAACAGACTTAACTTTGTAACTTGTTGCAAGAACTAAAGAAGATTTGTTTACTTTGTATTCCAAGATCAAATCTTGATCACAAAACATCAGATCAGATCAAAAGAAAGGTTATTACTATCTAAATTATCACCAGGTAGTTAAGAATATTTTTTCAACTTAAATCTTTCTTCTGCATGTTCTACTTTGTGACTCCCAGGAATTAGCTACTTTAAACAAGGGAAAATAGTGTAGCTCAAGTTCTTTAGTCACTGCCTTCTCTACCCTACCTATTACAAGCTACTGCTTGTTACACTATGCTGCAAGCTTTAGAGAATTTAGCTGTATTCACCCCGATGCCCCAACAGCATGGAACATAACATATACATCTAAGTACTCAGAAGTTTATACAGATGCTAGTATTAAGGAGGCCTGGGGTCTGAAGCCTGTGCCAATGAAAATATTAAATAACCATCATCTCAGTATTTTAAAGCTAGCTGAAATGTATTTTATAAAGTTAATCACTTACTGTGCTTGCTAATATTATTAAAGATATTTTTCATGTGAAAGCACAGGAGCCAAGAAAATAATTTCTTATTGCTCAGTAAGGGGTGAATAATGAAACAAAATATTTCATTTAACTTTCCCCTGAGAGAAACACCCTGGTAAAGTGTGCATGATCCTCCAACACACTCTGAGGTTAAAAAGCTGCTACTGATTCACAGCTGCTGTCCCAGCTCAAGTAGAAGGGATTTGTGCTTTTGGTGCTGGTGTTGAGTGAGAGTGCCAGATTTAAGCCTGCTGTTAATGCAAGATGCCTATATACACAGAGACTTGTTACATTTGCCCATAGAATATCTTGAACAGAATAATATTATTCTTAGATGCAGAACTCCATGAACTAACATGTTTCTCTTTAAAACTAAAGACTGGTATTTGCTGTATGAATTGGAGAGAATACACGCACTTACCTGGCCACTCAGCCTTTAGAGAAAGAGACTAGAGTGTTCTGTGGCTAGGAGGAACAGAGGCTAAGGAACTGCTGAGCCAGATAACCAACACGACTGCATTTTCCCAGGAGATGGAATATGTTGCAAGTATGGAATCTGGTCCCTAGAGAACTAGGGCTTTTCAATGCAGTTCATATAAAACATGTAGGACTTCTTGTGGAAACAAGTAAATAAAAAACCTTTCCAGCTACTACATGGAGTAAAAGTATTTTGCTAATTTAGCATAAAAATGAGAAATCACTTTGCCCAGATTTCGTATAAAAACAATTAAGCCAGCTTATTTTTTTTAAAAAAGCATATTTTAAATCTGGCAGTTTTCCTACTGGAGTACTGTACATGATGTTTTAAAGAGCTTCTAACCAGAAGAGTCACTGTTACAGAGCTAAAATTTACACTGTGTTTACATGCATACTGTTAACCATCTAGATTTGACAGATAAAAACTAAGATGCGATCCTTATTTTGACAAACAAGACTGGTCTACATTTCAACCCACTTGATGTATAATAAATAAAATTTCAGTATTAGAATAACAAAAATGTTAAAATAGATTCTGAAATCAAAATAAGGCAGTGCAGAATTATCAGTGTAGAGAAAAGCAAGTTCCTACACCTCCTTTTCTAGAAGGAAGGAAGGTTGGTTAATAAACTAAAGGTTGAGATACAGCAGGTATTTTAATTCCCATTTCATTTAAAAACAAATGCAGTGCAAGGTAACAGATATCCATATGATGCATGTGCTATTTTGCTTGCAAACTTTAGCAGATATAAAATTTCTGAAGCTGTGTTTCCTCACTGAATCTACTGGTTCCTAATTAGACCAAATACTTTGTAAATTTGAGATAGATACCATCAGAAGTCCATAAAAGCCAGGCTCATATTTCATAAAAACTGCTAAATATTTAGGAAATCTAGACCCTTCCACATTTTTTTTCATGCTTCATTTAAACTTAGATCAGCAGGACTCTGCTTTTATAAATGACCTACTGACATATTCATAAACTGGCTTGGGAAAAACATACAGGTTTTGTTACAATGAATTTTAAGATCTTACATACACCTCAGAGTCTGGAGCTATGGCATTTCTCCAAAATAGTTCACAGTTCCCGCAGTTAATACAGTACTGCAAAATGGCACTAAAGTGCATAAGTATCTGAACGTTTGTTGGGCTAAAAGGTGCTGTGCAAGCTTAAGCTACTGCTTTGCCATTATATACAAGATCATTTTTCTTTGGGGAGGGGGTACTAGCTCTGGAATGCCACTGATTTTAATTTTAATGGAGGATTGTCTACCTTTCACCTTTCTAGAAGATGTAAATGCCCCCTTTCTGACTCTTCTGTTTGTCAAGAACAGTAAAAGAGAAAATAGTACACTCTAAAAATGCGTTTCAAGATAATTTACCAGAAATGGTATTGAAAAAACAAAAGGAAGAATACAAGGTACTCCAGATGAAAAGTGGACATGCTCTTTGTAACTAGCTATGGATCTTCTGCTCAAATGAACATGCTGTTCATTTTTATCAAAACATGAGTACTAAACTACCATAAATAAAATACATACAGTACAGAACAATTAAAACTTTTTTTTGTACAGTAGTTACTTTTACATTAAACTTACCATCTTTTCAGATATGTTGAAAATTAGGACTCTAAACATGATTATTTCAAAGTATCATTTTTAACAATCTTGCACAGGCCCGACAATCAAAAACACGAAGCTTTGATTCAGATAGCTTGGCAGGTCTCACATACTTTGATAGGTAGGCTACTTTGAAATATGTTGGGTGTGTTTTTTACTTACGCGTTTTATTTTTTATCAAAAGACAGTTTGATTATTTTTATTTAAATCTTTACATGAACTAGTTTTGTGCAATACCACTGCCAGTGTAGCATACGAAAACAAAATGTGTCTGGAACATTGACTATAGTCCAAGTGTTGTCTACCTCTTAAAAAAGTAAGATTCTAGGAAATCCAATGCGAGTGCATTTTAATACAGGAAGTCAGTCCTAGAATAATTTTAATATTAAACAGGTACCGTTTCTACCACTGGTGATTTGATGCACTCTTCATGCAGTCTGCTCTTTTCTGGGAGGTTTAGTGAATTCTCAGCAGGGTGCTCTTGTACATGACTGTCGCCATTCAAAGCTGAAACAAAGCCATCTTGAGAAGGACCTTTCAAGAATGAGTGAAATTCCACTTGAGGGTGAGTTGGCCTATGCTCAGCATATAAACTGTTACATGGAGCACTGCTGTCACCTTCAGAAGATGAGCAGCAAACAATCACTGAGGGGTTTGCAGAAGGGTAATGAGAGCTGCTAAAAGTTTCCTCTGATTGCCGTGTGTAGTCAACAAACTGTTCTGAAGTCATGTTGTAAGGCACCAGAGAAAGACTACCGTTCTTGACAGCATCCCTTTCTGAGTAAGTCTCACCGATCTGGTTAGCAGTGCCAGCAACGTGGTTCTCTATTTGGTAATACAGATTTGAAGAGTTAGTATAGTATGAGGCATTTTTAGAGTGGTTTTCATGCACAGCAGTTCCATCAGAGTAGCAAAGGACAGAAGGAAGAGGCACCATATCAGCATGGGAGCCCATGCTTTCTACAAAATCATCTGCTTTTTCTTCCTCATCATCTTCCTCCTCATCTTCCTCTTCCTCTTCATCATCATCTGATTCACTAGGGGCTAAACTCTGTGTGCTAGAATCTGTAACTCCACTACAAAAGCTACTCCCATCTTCCTCTTCCTCCTCTTCCCCTGGGCAGTCCAAGTCCTCGGCTGACTGAGAATGCATAACCGCAGCCGGAGGTTCGGTTTCAATCTCAAAATTTTCTGCAATTGAATATTCAACTGGATGGGGTCCTGGACTCATAGAACTAGTGTGTGCACTTATCTCACTGTGGCAGCCATTTAGTGCCGGAACTTGCTGCTCTCTATTTTTCTCCAATTCAAGTTTCATTATTGTGTGCAAAAAGTGAGTCCGTACACGGATAGGGTTAAATTCAATTCTACCTGCTGTATTGCTACACCCTTCTTTAGTGCAACCGCATGGAAAAGACATACGATCCACCTTTTAAAAAAAAGAATACAGATTAACAATACGTAGCATAAGCCTGGCGATACGACAGAACCTAGCAGCCTAGAGAAATACAATAGTGAAGTGGGATTCACCCTGAGAAGTACTTGTAAGAACAGCCAAACCTAACAATAATTCAGAGAGTTAGCCCTGGAATTTAGCACTACTGATAGGAACAGTAAGGGACCCATACATGCAACAATGTTGCAGAGTAGGAAAAATATGTTTCTCTTCCATAGGTGAAAGCATTACACAGTGGAACAAAAAATGGGTAATCTTTCTATTTATGGATCTGCTACAGCTTTACTTCACGTTGTGCTCAAATCCAGGCAAAAGCATTACCAGAAAGAGTCTTAAAATTTTGTAAAAATCATGGGAACTAGAAACCTATTGAAACAAAATGAATTACATATAAACCCCTTTATAAAGCTGCCAATGGGGACACCTGACCACAGAAGTAGGAATAAAAACTCATTTACATTTTAAAAGATAATCCAGTCAATTATAGATGCAATATTGAAGGCTCAACAGACTGTGGGCAGAACTTATATATCTAATAATAGCCAGCTTAAATTTTTAAAAACATGACTGAATCCCCATGTCGGATAGTTTGATTAGGTAGCTTAAGGTCTGTGATTTTCATCTACGCTATAATACCTAAACATCAAATATGATGCGGAGGAGAACCATATAACACAACCTAGTACATCTTCGCCACATGTGAAAATGAAAACAGGAACAGCAAAGAGAATATATTATTTAAAATAGAGAAAGTGTAGCTTGGATATAAGAGATGATGAAAAAAGCATTCAGGAAGAAATCAACTCAGCTGCATAACAACAACTCAGGAGAATTAGTGGAAACATCTTTTAGGGAACATTTTAGGACATTTACAGCTGTACATAGGACACTATGTAAATGTACAATACAAAATACCCTTTCAGCCTGCCGAGGAAGAACTACCTGCTATATTAGCAGATGTATTTTTATTGCCTACATGCAAAGTTATCAGGCATGCATTTTAAGTATCATGCACGTTAAATAAAGGACAATACCACAGTGTGTCATTTATTGTTTCTCATTGAGTTTGGACTATAATTCACATTCAGACAGTATGTGAATTGTCTCTAAAATAACATGTAATATCCCTTCTGAAATCTGCAGGCTACCTATTCTTCTGTTGTCTGCATCTGCATATTTAGATAAAGGCCAAAGAGGAATATGAGGAGCAGAATATTTGTATAAGAACAAAAAAAACCCGCTAAACAATGTATGTGCCTACACCAATCATAAAATAAAGATGTTTAAGGAGATTGTTTGTATTGCACACTGTATACCCTTAAATCTGGGCCTTAAAAAACTGGCTTGAGATCCACAAGTGCTATTGTCTAATAATTAACTGACTTAATTTCCAGTAGTTATAACTTTAACAACGAAAAGTACATGTGTGTGCATGCACACACACCCCTCCCCCTCCCCTTGATGGTTAAATAATGACAATCATATAGACATTTACCTGACATTTTATGCCTGCAAGACTGCAAGTGCAAGTTTCTGGATCGCAGAACACACGGCAGTCACAGCCACAATCCTCTCTGGACAGGCGGATGGCCCGCAGCTCATGTTTTTCTTCCACATCGATCTTCTTCACTCCAGAAGCTCGCAGCAACGCCCTTCGCTTTTTTGTCGGCAGGGGTTGTAGAAAGAAGTACTCATCTACTTCGGTGTTGTCTAGATCAATGTCGTCATCAGAAATGTCATCCAGTGTCAGCGTATTAGCTTCTTCAGATTCCACTGTACCATTCTTTGTCATCTGTTGGATAGAACAATTAACAAAGTCCTTAAACTACATGTGTCATAGATGTAAGTATGTGTAATGCATTATGAATGTGGAAAGCCGAATGTAAAAATGCTGCATGACTGCCAGTAAGTACCAGAATATTACAGATGGGGTGAAAAGGCAGTTCCTTCCCATTTAACATGTGAATTAAATACACATTTTTAGTTTCATGTTTGTCATGAAGCTAATATTTTTTCTAAGTAAGTTTCTAATCTCTTATCTGTTCTTTAAGTAAGTCCCTTATCATTTGTCACTGTTTGCCAGATGTCATGCCTTTCTAAAATTCTAGTCTTTTCTATATTGTTTCATAAGATAATTTTTGAGCCCTTAATTGGTTCTAGTTCCTGTCTCTGGGCTCTTTGAAATTCTTCAATATCCCTTTTGAGATAGTAATTATACTACCAACACTGTTTCAGATTACGGTGCGTCACAGATTTGTAAACCTGTGTATTTTATATACTATTCACTATCATGTTCCTCTTCAGCTTGACAAGTTGTTTGATGTTTGTACAGCTGAGGTCACAAAGCAGCGATTCCACTTAATCGTTTGGGCAGATGTCTATATTTGCTTCTTGAGTTCACAATTTTAAGCCTGGAAGTCATTTAATTTTGCCCCTTTCCACCTACATTACTTCATGTTTATTTACAATGTATTTCATAGAGCTGATGCATATAGTTCTTCCGAAGTTCTTTCTAGTCCTCTTTGGTCCTGAAAATAACTCATTTAGGATTGTGGTGTTGTGGATTCTAGTACCTCACTAACGAGTCCAAATTATTCTTAGGTAGTTAATCAATGAATAAACTTAGAAAAAAGGAATTAAGCTACTAACCTCTTGCGGAGAATCTTGAGAAAAGTTTATCAGAGGATTCATGTTCCTTTCCTAGGGATATGAGTTTTTGAGCCTCTGTAGATACAAGTATCCTGGCACTATATTATTACCTATGTATAGTCTAGCTCCCAAACCTTTCAAAAACTGTTTCAAAATTAAATGGCCACAAGCATCAGGCACAAACATCCAGTGCCACCTTCATAAGATAGCACACTTCTGTACCATGCTCCTGTAACTCATCTCATACAGAAAGGAGTGTATATATTCAAGGAGAAAAGAAAAAAACATTTACTGCACTGAAGGAAGGTTAATTTTCCCATCCATGGTAGAGCTCACTGGTTATATCTGCCAGATAACACAACTACAGGGTTTATAAAAGTTCTACAGAGAAAACTGCTTGAGACCCAAAAGAGTATCAAATGTTAAAACAAAGTTCAGAGGGATGATGACGTTCACTACAAAAAATGTATTTTCTCAATCTCAAATTACTCAGATTGAGCATTGTACTACATAGCAAACATGAAGCAAGTGCAGTTATGGGATATATTTTGTCATATAATAAATCCTTTTTCTTTTATTATTGTTCTATGAAATAATTTTGCTTAAAATGGAAAAACAAACACACAAACAAAACAGATTCCCAGTGTTCACCCTGCTCTAGGTGATGCTGTCAATTGATGAGTTTGCTGATTTACACTAGCTAAGCACCTGGTCTTATACTTTTGAGAAAAAAACATGGTGCAACTATGTGATAATTACACACTGTTGAGATTTCATCATGGGCATCACCATGACCGCAGAAAATGGGCCTCAGTGAATGTAGTTTTGATGTTTCTTATCTACAGAAAAACAGCCATTCACGTACTTTCTCTGTTTTGCCTTATCTACTTGCAGAAAATTTCAGCTTGGCCTAGTATCCCCCAATAAATTTTTAGACACCAGTTTTAAATACAGATAAAATACTAAAGTCATAACCACCACTGACTGTTTCTTGTGCATTTCAATTTTTAGACATTTAACAATTACCACTGTAAAGGTAACTCCCCGTTTTTCTGCTACTAAATCCTGTCACCTCCATCTAGGTATGCATCTTACATGTAAGAAAGCAGTCCCGAATCTTACACGTTCCACTATTTCTGCTCTTATTATATTCCCAACTGTTTCGTTTTCCCATTTATATTAACAGTTTGTCCTTTCCACATTCTTTTGGATTGTAACTGTCATTTACGGCATTACTGAATTACTCGATGGTGAACTCCTACTGACTGCTTACTCTTTTTTGCAATTGCAGTTTTGTGTTTATAACAACTGTGTAGGACAATCATAGAAAAAAACCCTCATTATTCCTGACTTGTAAAGTCAGGTTAAAAGCAATACTCTCCCATCTGAAGAAGAGTCTTATTGTCATGACTGGTAGTCCTTACATACAGTGTACGTGTGCACGTTACGCTGCACGAAGAAAAATTCTCCTGAGATCAGTAATCATCCCTTCTTAGCAATTCAGCACTGTATTTAGTTCATGCAGAGGTGTTCTGCCACTTCCACAACTCCACTTTATAGGCATTATTGTTTCCTTCTCTTTTCAATGTGTTCTCAATCGCTCTCCATAACTGCAGCCTTCAGAGTCTAGTGCCTTCATTTTATTTCATGTTTCAGTTTATTTACCATGTCTGTTATCCCTATAACATTCAAATCCCTTTATGTGCATATACTCCTAGCTCTTTCTTCATCTTAAATGCAGGCATTTTCTAAATGTCCTCTCAAACTTCCTTCAGATTGTCTTCTTACTCTATTTTGTATTATTCATTTCACTTTACAGTGGCTAGGAAAAGGGAGGGCAATAGCTCCCTAATCAGTTCTGCCTGGCCTTGGGACAATGGAGAGATTATTTACACCAGGTATTTCAACATATTCGTTTAGTAAGGTAGGAAAGACAACATTAGCAGTCATCCTTTCTGTATAATCTACAGTGAGAGACAGGTAAATCCACAGAGTTATTAAATGTATCTTGAATTAGCTGCCTGAAGCTAGCGGGAGGGAACAGTCCACTGTACATGCAACTCAGCCTGAATGTTCAAATCCAGAATGGCACCCCTGATTTTTTTTTATATTTTTCAATTTTTGTTAGCTAGGTACAACTAAGTACAGTGTATTTATGTTTCTTTGTTTTCTTTTTTTTGAATATAATTGGAGAATGACCTACCTAAGAATTCTGATTCCTCTCATTTTAAAGACACAAGGCTCAAATCACCCCTTAAGCGGATCACTGTTATTTAACTGCCTACCAGAATTTCAGTTTGAAACCGGGGAAGGGGAAGAATTCTAACTCCTGCTTCTCTAATTATTTCAGTATTTTATTCAATTACTATTTAATAAAAATTAAGTTTCAGGCACTTACCCATGAGGTGAATGCTGTAACTGCTCAGCTTACAAAGGCACCTATAGAACCATACCAAACCCGTCATGTATTTCTTCTCCTCCCCCTCCTGCAAATCTGAACTGCTTTGCTACACAGCAGTAGAGCACTAAGGAACGGACACCAGTCACGTGCTGAATACTGTATGCATCCAGCAGGCTGTAAAGTGAAGCACCTGGGCATCAAGCGGGGTTAGAAAGCAGTTTGCCACTTCAGAGCGCCTTAGCTCCTGACTCCTTTGCTGGATGACTTCCTTGTTGTCTCCTCTGACTTTTTTTCTCAATTTTGTCACACAAAGAACGAATGAATTAATGAAATGAAAGACTCGAACATTTCTCAAGCAAGTAATTGGGTAACTACAAGAGGAAGAAGATTATCAAGAACCATTGAATACATTTTCCAGTACAGAACTTCAGGGGAACATTAAGTTCTCTTGATTGTCATAATATTGCTCATGTGAATTAAACTTGATATGTAGGTGGGAAGAATTTCTCGCATAAAGCTAAAGGTTAATGTCAGAACAACAGAACAAGGCAAGGGCCAGTGAATATGTGCAGCCTTTGGGTGAAATTCACTTGAACCTCTGTAAAACGTGAAAAATTTAGGTTAGACACCTTTGCCTGCCCTAGCTGGAAATTATTCCTTACAGTTTCCCACAAAAGAAACCAATTGTGTCCACAGACCCGGGAGCCTTAACATCACTAGGGTCATGCTAATCATTTTCATAGATCTTAATTTGAGCAGACATTATGAGTAAGCAACAAGGGCTATTCCAGCTAATTTACTGTGCTTACTCATAATGTTTTCTTAAATGACAATGTACTAAAGTAAAGCCTACCTTGTACCTTTCATCTTGACAAGATGGCTTTCATGTCCAGATTGCCATTAGAATTTTCACACTCTGCTGCTAACAAGTGTTTATGCCACTGTCAGCAGTGTTTACACCAAAGTGCTGGTGCTAAATGGCTGAAGTGACTTGAAGATGATTTTAAAGTCTTTATCTGCTTTTAATTAAGAGAAGTTTCTTATTTGCCTCTTCACTTTTAGCAAGAAAATAACAAACAGTACCTAAAATTATGGAGACTAAATTTTAATATATTCCTGCATTTCTATTTTTTTAACAAATTCTACAAGAGAGAATGCTTTCTATCTACAGACTTGCATATTTTAATCCAATGCAAAAAATTTTAAAAACCCAGGGAAACAAATTGAAAACCACATTGAAAATGTTACTTTCTGTTTGCATAATGGTTTTCAAACAGAAAACCCTTTTTGAGCAAACTTTGCCCTACTTCATTTTCTCATTTCCTTCATTTTTCTGTGCACATGTACAGTAATTTTGATGTAAATCCTGATTAGTACATTTTCATTAAAGATCACAATTACTGACATCATCACCTTGAAACGCTGCAGCACTCTCTTTCTGTGTTCATTTAGAAACCATGTGAATGACCAAGCAGCTCTTCCATCTCTATAATGGGAACGGTCCAGCTGACTTCAGCAAATAAAACATGCCCAGTGCTTTACAGTGACTCCTCACTAATTCAGTGATTCCTGGGTTTGCTTTTGGGAGGGAAAACGGTTTTTATTTTATTTTTTTACCGCAAGTGTATAATCAGGGATGCAACAAAGCTGAGTTTAATAGACTAGTTCAAGAAGGAAGTTTTCTGTTCCCTATGTTTTTATACATGCTCTAGAGTGAAGAGAAATATTTTACTCTAGGAAAAGATTTACACTAGTAAGATGTTACCATTTTTAAGCCACTCTCAGGATTCAGTGAGGAAAGAATCCCACCACTGCTGAATTAGGTGTAGGGGAAAGGACTTTTCTATTTGGTGAAAGGAAACAATTAAGATTAGGACACAGGGAGGAATCCAAATCAGGCTCTCCTTATTCACTGAGTACTTACGAAGAGGAACTTAACAGTCACAGTAAAGATTATCATCCACTCAAACAAGTGACTGGGGAGATGGAAGAACGTGTTGTATTTGGAAGAAGAGCAGAAAGTAGCGTCTATGTCCCAAAAAAAGAGTGGGCTGAAGTAAGCTAATGAAGAAAGGAGATCCATCCCAGCCAAGAGGAGAATTATGAAAGCACAAAGAGCCACGCGCTACTCCATACAGATGAAAGCTAAAAAGCCTCGTCCAATCTTTACAGGTAAATAGGATCTGTGATTTTTCTTGAGTTACTTTCTAGCTCTAAAAAGAAAAGGAAAAGTGAAATATTTGCATGCCTTACTATTCTTTACTCCACTGGGGATTCCACTCTCTGAGCTGATTCCTGGAAGTCAGCCAAGGGATCTACACAGAGTCATCGGTTACAATGACACAGCTCAATTCACACTTGATGCTCTGAAGATCCTGTGATGCGAGATGTTTAGAGGTATAATCTCTATCTAGTGATAAGTCACTAACACTCTAGCCTTTGGTTTCCAACCTGTCCAAATATCTGTCTTTAATTTGCCTCTGTCCTGAGTGGTTTTATGTTTGTTTGTTTTCATTATGACAGTTCAAGTTTTATGAACTATTTAAGAATCTATTTAGCTATTCAAATAAAAAGCAACTAGGAGACTGAGAAAAGTAATAGTAAGGGTCTTACTCCTTCAGGAGTTCAGACATAGAACTCATGAACATAGTTCACTATATGGGAAAAGTGCTGAAAGGCATTTCTTAAACTTAGAGGGTGCCAGTTTGCTCTGGACAACTGTAGTAGTATCTGAAACAGATATAATCTCACAAAAGAAGGGGCTATGGACCACAGCAGTTCAGTTACAATTCTAAATACTATTCACTTTTAATTACAGGATTAATCTGAAAAAGAGCCCTGGATATACATATAACACAAGCCATTACACAGGAAGTGTTTCATCCAGTACAAAAACATAACAAAATCAGAAGTTTTGCCATCAGTTTTAAAGGGGCAGAAGGGACACTTCCAAGAGCACAATCCTCTTCTCTGTTCTCTTTTACTCAAATACACAGTTTCTCTCCTCTCCTGTGCTGTATTTAAACCGACAGCTTCAAAACTCTAGCCAAGATTTGTTCTGACTAGCTAAACTGATATAGCCAGTTAAATTGTCTGACACGTTTCTTCTAACACAGACATCCTTTGGTGAAATATTAAAGACGCACAAACATACAAATTGGTACACTGAAAAAAGAAAACATTTTTAGTATTACTGTTTCTTACTTTTCACCAAATTTGCTCAAGTTGGCCAAGCAGATAAGCTGTTTCACTTGCTGTACTTAGGATGTTATCCTTCCCTTGTCTAACAGGGCACTGTGCAAGGGCTCAGAAGACTTGTTCTCTTCCTGGCACTTCCAGACTTCTGCTGGACACCCTGTTCTAACTTCCACCACTCTCTGCCTTTGTTTTCCTCTCTGTAGAAAACAGGGAGTAAACAACAGTCTCCCTGTAAAGCATCAATAAGAGCTACAACAGCACTTGGTAATATCAGTATGTCTTCAGTAAAACAAAAAAAAAAGACAAGTGCCATTGTTTTGATTGAAATGGAGTTGATGGAAAGGAAATGGTTTTGTTTTAAGAAACACATTGGGCCCATATAGCCCTGACACTGGTCATTTACTTAAATAAGGCAGGGATCAAAGACTTGAATAATTTTTACCTTTAATTTTAGAGAATTGAGTTTTTCCTCCCTTAGATGTTCTCTTAACATCTCTCGGTGAAGCCTCTCCTGCTCCATTGCAAACTCTCCAAGCGTGTATTGGCGTACACTGTTGTGGCGAGTAGACATTCCCAGTGTGCTTCCCCCTTGGCTGGGAACACTGGTGAAGCCTTGCCTTCTTGTGAAGTAATACACAGTAACACAGTTAAAATGCACATTTTTTGTTCTCTTCCGCTTCTCCCTCTTCAGGATTGAAGAAGCTAGAACAGATGCAGATTACAGTATGAATGATAACTTGGAGTCATACAGCAAATCCATCACTTGTGTAGTTCCATTTACCTTAACAATACCTGACGATGTACACACTGAAGTTCCAAGGTGTGTAGTCTAAATGAGGAGATAACCTTAGAAATATTTACCATATATGCAAACTTAGAAGCCATTACAAACTGCTATAATCATGAGCACTATTGTCTGCTTTGGAACAGAAATTCTTGGCCAGGACAGTTGTGTTTTCCCATAGCGGTATAAAAACGTTTTGTCCTTTTACCAAGGAAGCCAAGAAATTCCAGCAAAAGGAACTTCTTTCACAGTGTCACCTCAAAGACAGCGACTTGCTCCTCTTCAAACCCCTGCAAACAAAACAACGTTGCATGTGACAGCAGTGAGGAGAACAGTGGACCCAGTCCCTCACAGGTCTATACAAACTGTTACTATTCTGTCAGCAAGGCTTAGCTGTAGAGATCTGTAACTACATATTTAAAACACTGGATCACATTGGCAGAAGAGATTCCTATCTCTTATAATCTAAAATGTGAGAAATTAGTGTTAGAAAAACTATAAAGGCAATGTTTTTAGTGTTTCAGCCTGTCTCAGAAATGCATACCATCATCATCACCACAGAATAATATAGGAATAATGCTGATTAACAATCAGATCCACTTCCTTTTTGTTTACCTTCATCCTTCTTTCTGCTGCCTTCCACTGAATACACGTGTGTGTATATAGTCTTAATGTGTCAAATTTTGACAAAAAATTAAATCTAGTTTTTCTAATTCTTTTCTGATCTCATGCTCAGTTTTTCTTATAAACATACGCAGTATCATATGAAATGGATTTGTTTAAAAACAAATGCCAAATTTTAACTGTTAAATATGGTTCTTTTTTCTACAGACATTTAGTAACGCCTTCCAAAGATACTGATCTATTGTTTCTCACCGGTAACAGTGGTGAGCCTTTACAGAAAAAATGAAAGAGACACAAACGTTAGAGAAAGATAAGAGACACTCCTTAGGTTTTACGATGAGCAGCCTGATTTATTTGATTTATTGCAAAATGGCAAAAGGATGTTGAGAAGGTAGATAGTAAGTCACTGCTTTGCAGTTTACAGGCAACAATTGGGCAGGTGTGAATGAGAGACCTAACTGCCAGAATTCAGGCAGTAAAATGATTTAAAAGGTGCCTGACCACCCTTGAAAGACTTGGAACCATTCTATAAAAGCAATAACAGCAACATGATGTTCACTGCTAATCTAAAATTGCACCACCTCTAGAGGTTGGAAGCACTTGGCCTTCAGCCTTGGTTTCGTAACAGGTCCGGTTTATTGTCACAGTTAAAACATAGTTCATTCTCTAATACTATTATGTAGTGAAATGTTAATCACCACAAATGTAAAAACCCCAAACTTTTACATGAAGTGATTCAGTCCAAAAAATAGCATATTCTACCTAACTATATGGAAACCAAGTATATTAGAAAATATAGTCCTGTAACCAAATCACAGACAGTATGCCCTACTGACATAATCATAAAACTATTTGGGACTCAGTAAAACATTGAAATATTATTATTTTTCCTAAATACGGATAAGCAGCTAAAAGCATGGCTTATTATACAAGTAACATGCACTTCTACAGATATGCTGCAGGTATGTTAGATTATAAATACAAAATAGGTAAATAAACTCAGGCCCTATATTCACTTACATGCTCTCAGTGAAAGGTGTTCCAAAAAAGGTATACGATGTAACACAGAGGAATCAAAAGACAAATTCTGTTACATTAGGCATGTTTAAACTTACAACCAAGTTTAAGCAAATCTCCTATCAACAAAGCCTGTCAAAAATATTTATAGCAAGCTTTTAGTGGGGGAAGATGGTTATTTTGTTAGAAGAGACTAGTTGATAGGGGTGTGTCAATTTTGCATGATTAATTGAATATTGGTTTAATGTACTATTCTTTTTCATATATGCCACAGTTTCAAAACAAAACTATAATAAAAGCAAATTTTTAGAGTTTGGAAGACAGGCTAATTTTGATATTGTGATATTCTCATTCAATTTAGCATGAAAGCAAATACTCAGTCAGAACCTTCACTGCCTATACGCTCTTACACACAGGAAAGTTCATATTAAAACAATCCCGCTTCTGTTGAAGGAGGTATCTAAAGCATTCTCGGATGTATCCAATTTCTGATATAACAGTATTGATGTTATTTGGATCTCAGCTGGATCTTGGCTCTATTTCGGAAGAAATATTGACAGCTACTGAAGGGCAAGCAGCTTTTTTACCAAGTAAAAGAACCAGCCACAAATGGAATGAGAGATAAAGCTACAGTAAAATATTAAAGGAAAGGAAAAATAGAAGGTTAATCTTATTAAAAAAAAAAAAAAAGCTTCATGAGGAAATAGACGATAATTGTGCCTGTAAATCACACAAGCTAGCAAATGCCTCTGAATCCTTACCTGTAAACTTCTGTATCTACCACATAAGGTCTACATTGATAGTAATTTGGTACAGACCTTAGCCATGGAACTCCTGACATGGCTGCTTACTGGCAGGAATACCAAATGCTGCAATAAAAGTGCTTCCATTTTTTTTAAGACTGTCAGTCTCTTCACAGAAGACATACTACTTTCATACTACTTTCTATACATAATCAACCTTAAGCTTTATTCACACACTACCCACTAACATTAATAATGTAAGATTGTAGTTATCATGAGCTGTCTTAAAGAACCCATTAATGCATTTCTTCTTCTGCATAAGAACTTTTTTATAGTTCTTAACACTTTTAGTAATTAAATTGTCAATGCCACACCATCAAAGTTGTTTGTTTGGGTTTTTTAATATATCACTGACAAAAACTGTATTAAAATAGAATTAAGCTGAACTTCAAGAAAATGCTGGCATACTGTAACTGCACCACCACCAGCACTATAAACCCAGCACTACACAACTGTACTGAAGACAGCGTGAGAGCTGACATGCATTTGTTCTAAATGTCATTAAAGTTCATGGTTTTATTTATTAACATTATAGTTCTGAGTCAGACAAATTATATGATAATCTATGTAAGTAAACAAGCATGTAAACATTCAGAGCCCTCAGATGACACCGGATTACTTTTTTCTGAAACACATCCTGCCTTTTGGGTTTGCTTCTGTCTCACCCAAGAGCTCATTAACGGGAAGAGCTAAGGCTCCGTGAATAACTCTATAGTCATCTCTTCTATGTTACTGCTAGGAAGTAGCCAGAATATATTCATATTTATGAGAACGTTGCTTACAAGAACAGATCAGGCAGGAACTGCAAAAGATTACAGGATTTTATTTGATTACCCAAAAGCATAGATGAGAAATGTCAGTGAGGGGACTGGAGAATTGCAACCAAGGACACGAAAGGAAGCACAGTCAGCACCGCAAAGGCACTATGTTCTTGCTCTACTATACTTTCTAAAATCTCTGAGCACAGGCCTGCCTTAATGTGACCTCAGAAAAAATTATTATTAGATATTGAATGGAAATGTTGAACATTTTCCAACATCAGGGACAAAGTGCTCTACAACTCATTCAGTCCTTTTGCTTCAAGCCAAGCAGAACTCAGATTCTCAGATCATCTTATCAAGAGTCAGAGGCATATGTTATTTTGCATGCACTGTGCCTTAAATAGTACGTTCAAATCAGTTGTAATTACTGCTAAGGACACTGCTTAACTCAAGACAGAGCAGAAGAACATACAACATACAAATTTATTGATATATCACAAAGTATGAACGTATGCCCAGACAAAATTTACTGACATTAATCAATTAGTAAGCTCCTTTCAGAGTGAGGAACACAGATTGTGCAAGGCTTGCATGCCTCTCTGGAGTCAGTTTCAAAGGTTTTGCAGGGAAGCAAAAGCTCATAACCTAAAAATTTATCCACAGAGAGTGTAAATACCACACTTTTCCAGAAGAGATCTAGTAACGGCTTCCTTGCTTGCCCAGTCTCAAAAAAGTATTTACATGCCATCTGCCCGTGTAACAAGTGATATCAGTGGATGCCACTATCATCTGTTCTGCGCAAAAAGGGTGATACTGACTCCAGGCAGTCTGCTAGGCAGAGATGTGGTTTTTTACCAGCTGCTGGACACACGCTGTCAACAGGAGCTAGAAGGTGGTTTTTGAAAATGAACACCACCATCTTGGGTCTAGCAGTTCATGGCGAGCGAGGATGCCAGAGGGAATAGGAATAGTCATCATCACCTAAAACTGCCCTGTGGATCACACATGATCTTTAACACATTTATATACTACAAGTCTGATATATTCCATCGAAGGCAAAAAATACTCCATTCTCATGTATTTAAAAAATTAATATAATATTTAGTTCCATGTTTCAAGACTATATGGAATTAAGTATTTTTGACAGATGCATAAGTACTGTAATGCATAAAATGTATCAATTATCAGGAGGGAAGGATGATACTGTTAAGCACATAATTATCACGACAGAACTATCTCTCAGAAAAGGTCACTATATCTGAAGAAGGTCTTCAGACATAGATGTCTTCAAACAGGACTGTTAGAATTCCTCCTCTGAAATAACATCAACTGCCAAAATTTGGGGTTTTGGCATTTGACGTTTGAGTGGCTCAGTTTCTGGGTTTAGCAGAACAGAGCCCAAATTAATAATGTGCTGGCAACTGGCCTGCCTCCTCAGGGACTCAAGTCAGGTCCTGTAGCCTTAGCAGCTCCTTGCCATGCAAAAGCAGCTGCTGCAGATTCAGGGCTGTATCTGGACGCAGCACAGCCCCACCCGTGCAGCTCTCAACCCGAGCTAACATCCACAGCACAGGTCATCTGTGCCAGACCGTTTATGGCAAAACCAGCAATTGTCTGTAAACAAAATTCCTAAAGTTGAGGCCAAAAGAATTAAAGGAAAACTTTGAACAGCAAAAAATTGTTTAACCCAAGCATGGTTAACCCATCCTGGAA